GGAGGAGGTCGGGCGAGCCCCGTGCCAGGCCAGTCATCTCCCCACGACCGGGCCGGGAGAAGTCCCGAGCGGTGACCTTCTGCGGCGTGCTGCACAGAGAACTTGGAGGGGATATCAGCTGTGTCACTCTGGTGTCACCGAAGAGAGGGAAACACTTCACCGGCTGCCTGAAGCGCCACCAGGCAGTCACTGGCGGGGAGGAGACTTCAGCGGCCAGAGACAGGCTGGCCCAGGAGCACCTGGGGGAGGATCGCGGGGATGCAGCTTAGTCAGGAGCTCGCGGGGTGCGTGTCGGGCCTGCAACACGGCCTCGCCACCCTCGGGAGCGCAGCCGAGGGACGGGAGCTAGGGAACAGCGTTTGCCCTGCGGTGTGGCTGAGCCTTTGACTCCGGTTCTGACTCCAGATGCTCCATGCGAAGCTCTCAGCACCTCGCTGTCCTGAGAAACTGCTAGGGAAGGGAAGCTTTGCCAGAAAATGCAATAGTTGTGGAGCTAGCGTTCCCAAAGTGCAAGTTCAACCTGGCCGAGGTGGCACGGGTTTGGGCCACAGCCCTCTGTGGAGAACGGGCCCTGGGAGGCCCCGGCCCACCCTCTACTGCAAGTTGATGGGGAGTCTAGTTTAGCGCCTTAGAGCCTCTTCTGCCCGTGCACTTGCAGAAATGAAAAGTAGGAACATGTAATGCCATAGGGCTTACTTGTTTTTAAATTCAATCATGTATTACCATATTAATATGCTGTGCACATGATCAAAGAGAAACGGTTAAAATAACAATAGTGAAAATACTTTTAATTTTAATAACCTCTGCATAATTTTGCTTTCTCTATTTTGTGATCGTGGGAAACTAAATATATAAATGTATAGATTTTGGCAGGTGTGAGGGTACACCCCTGTAATCCCAGTACTCAGAACGTGGAGGCAGGAGGATTGGCTTGAGTTTGAGGTCAGCCTATACTACATGCTGAGTTCAAGGCCAGCCTGAGGTGCATGGCCAGACCTTGTCTCAAAGAAACCAAAAAAAAAAAAAAAAGAAGTGTAGATTTTGATATGCTGGTTTAGCACTTATAATTCAACAAGTCAAAGCCCATGTCCTATTAGTCCTGGATTTTTTTTTTTTTTTTTCATTTTCAGTCTTACTATGCACTTCAGGCTGGCCTTGAGCTCACTCTGTAGCCCAGGCTGCTCTCAAACTCCCAAGGATTCTCCTGCCTCAGCCTCCCTAGTGCTGGGATTACAGGAGTGCACCACCACGCCAGGCCAGTACTGGATTTTAATCAAAGGGTGGTGGAGCTGAGACCATATGCTATGAGTTCTGT